TGTTGCCCTCATCACCTTTTTGAAAACATTTTCTTTCTGCTTGAGCCCTTGGTATCAGCTTCTCACTTTTCCCCCTCCCCTCCCCCGCCCTCCCTGCACAGGGGAACGAGCAGGACTGAGGACCCTGAGGCCGATGGCTCCTCTGCCAGTGGAGGTCCAGCCACCTGTCGGGGCAGCCACAGCTGGAGGCACTCAGCCCTTCCTCTGAGTCCGTGCTGTGGCAGGCCACGGCCCATTGGCCACATCTTCCTCTTGTCGGGGCCCCTGCTTAGTTCTGACCTGAGCGTCCTCTGAGGGGCTTCGGTGAGTCTGTGGGGAAGTCCCTTCTGCTCTGTGTTGCCCACCAACTTTCTGAAGCCCCTCGGTGTCTTTTCAAATAATTAGAAACATCCTGTAGGTTCAAACCTAGGTGATGGGTTCCTGGTGGTGTGTACCATGTCTGGGTTTGTCCCTTTGAGAGAGTTGCTAATTTGAGGTTCATTAACACTCCCACACACAAACATCGCCATCTCCGTGGATTGGCCTGTTGGTAGAAGGAAGTCTATATAAATTTGTAGGGAAATGGTTTTGGAATCAATGTCTAACTACATTCAATTCACCTGAACGTCTCCTTGCACACCCTTCTTAGTGTCTTTGACGACCAGTGATGACCAGCTCGTGGTCCTTGGGGTCCCTGTAACAGTGGACAAGACTAATCCCTCAGGGGCGTGGACCCATGCTGGTGGCTCACGAGACAGAAGGAAACACTGTGCTCTCATCACAGTTCCTTTGAACCTGTCTCTGCAGCTGCTGCGACACTTGACCTCGATGAGGGTCCTGAGTGATCCACTTGACCAAAGTCCAGATGCAAAGCCTCACCGATACTTGTTTGCTTTTAGGGAGCATCTGCTGTGCATCGTTCTGGCAACCGGGCCATTTAGGGCTCTGCTCACACAGCCCAAGGCTGCAGTCCTGCCTCTTCATTGTCTCGTTTTCCCTTCGAGGCGATGAAGAAGATCAGGTACACCTTAGTCCCGAAGGTGACATCTTTGCCTTTTAACACTTCAAAGAGGTCTTTTGTGTACAACTCTTTCCGACTTCTAACACTGTGAAGTTCAACTTTTAACCCACTGAATCAGGTGGCAGGTGAATTAAATGTTAGTAAAAGTGCTAAAGGAGGGAGAGGTCATTTGCTGAAGCTTTGCCCAGTGCAGAACTGGCTCTTTCAGAGTTTAACCGCAGGACTGCCAGTGTGTTGTGTGAGTCCTGAAGGGACAGTTGCATTTGCATCCTGCAGTGTGCCGGCCTGTTATAAAATTGTCCACATTCTCTTCGTAGGGTGAGAAGAAAAGTAACATTTTAGATTCACAGAACTTGGAGATGTGAATGGCATGTGTTGTACGGATCTTCTGACCTGCAGGGCAGCCGCCTTCTGCCTCCCCGAGCCGGAGGGAGATGGCAGCCTGCTTGCCACTTTCTTCTGTCTGCACTGAGAGAGGCCACCGGCCCGCCCACCTTCAAGCCTGCAGGAGGCAGAGTTAGTGGGAGCCTGATGTACGAGCAGTTGACCCATCCCTGGATTTGTCCTCTGCTTTCTTCTCCATGTGCGATGGTTGGTGGGGAAATGTTCCTTTTGAGTGCTCTTTGCTCAGCCAGCCTCCTGGTCTATAAAACTCTTAAGACTTTCACTGATTTGAAAGATTGGGTTAGAATCTCAAGGGTTTGACGTCAGATAAGGAAGAAGGATCTCCGAGCCTCTGACTCAAGTCGAGAACCGCCGCGCTCAGGGCTCCCTGCTGTGGCCGAGGAGGCAGCAGAGGCTCAGAGTGGTAGCTCTTCAAACTCAGGTACCCTGTGTGCTGCTGCCTGTCTCAGGTAGAACAAGACAGGCCCTTTGGAGGGGTGGGCAACCTATTTTTGCCATTTGGAGACGTCTAACAGTTGAGGGCCTTACTGATCAGACATTGGATTAATTGGCCCTAATGAGCTGGCTGGAGCTGCTTCTCTGTGATGTGGCCTGTGCTGTTCGCTGTATCGACGGCTTTGCAGGCCTCCCGTGGCACGGCCTACGGGAGAGAGACAGGCTTTCTACTTGCGTGGAGAGTTGCTGCTGTATCGGAAGCCCGCGGGGCAGTTGTCCTACCCTGTCCTGTAGGGTCTCTGTGAGTCAGCATTGACTCGAAGGTAGTGAGCGTGGAGGGTGTTAACGGCCCACGAGCCAGGCGAATCCCACCTGCTGCTTCTCCTGGCTCCTGAGAGGCCCACTTTTTGAGACCACCAACTGCTCTCATTCCTGGTCGTGGGGCACCGGCAGGATGCCGTCACGCTCGAGCCCCTGTGAGAGCAGAGACCCCTAGTCTTCCCAGACGATAGAAGCCCTTATTTGACAAAAGTGCAAAAAAGGAAGGTGGGAATATCCCATCATCCCTCTCCGTAGAGTTTCAGGATGGTAACATCTTCCTGCACGTCTTAGTGATTACAGTTGTGTTTATGGTGTCTCATATACACTTGCATGTATAATTCTCTACAAATTGCAGATGTTCTGTGAACATAGTTTGGCCTTTTGCTTTTTCAGTTCACATTGTGAACGGTTGCAATGTGAAGTCCACAGGTGAAAAGGATTTTTGGTCACTTTACAGAATGACTGTAGAAGTGGACTGTAATTACTATTGTCATGGCTGTTATGGAACAGAAGTTCCCAGGTTTGGGTTACTAGATGAACGTTGGTATACATAAAATTATGTTAGCACTGTGGTTTTATGTCTTCAGTAGTTTCCCAGAGAACGATTGTGTTTTCTCAAACTGCTGCTTCATCTAGATTCTGTAATTCACTGCAATGGTCATACAGAACTCACAGACGATGATGACAGTGTTTTATTAAGGAAATAACATACCTCCACGCAGGGCAGGTCTCTCTGTGAGAGAGACCTGTATGGAGGGAACCAGAAGAGCCTGACCCCGAGGTGTGCCACACCCCATTTTCACAGGAGCCCCCATAGTGCCTGCAGGTCCAGGGGTGAAGCTGGCTCCCAAAGGATACCCATGGCCTTCAGAGGGGCTCAGAAGTCTGGACATCCAGGGTGGCCACGGAGGGTGCAGCTTGTTTGCTGGGGAGGTAGTGTGGTTTGGCGGAAAGGACCCTCAGAGGAAGGGCGCCCTGGACCCAGCCCGGCCACGATCTCCTCCGACAGTCCTGGAGTGCAGTGGGTGCTCCACTCTTCTCCCCACCCCTCCTGCCCTCCTCAGCCACCAGTCATTGTTACACAGCGCACTTGCAGCAGTTTGTCTTGTTTGATGAAAGCGCATTTGAAACCCTGGCAACAGTGGTGCTTTCACTCCTAGTTGCTAAGGGCGTGCATCTGTCTGTCTGTCCATCCGTCTGTCTCTGCCCCTCCAGATACACGTGCCAGCCGTGTGAGATCGTGGCCGACTGCGGGCCGTTCTCCGACAGGAGCGGGCTGTATGAACGGCTGCGGCTGGAGCTGGAGGAGGCCCTAAGCTTCGTCAATGACTACAACGTCCCTGCTCACTGCCGAGAGAGAGACTCCACCTTCATTTCCAGACAGGTGAGCGACCAGAGCCCTCCTCGTCTGTCATGTGGCGCCTCTCTGGTCTCACGTTTTATTTTGGGTTGAGTGATTTGACAGTCATTTATTTATATGAAGTATCAAAACCCAAACTCATTGCCATCCTGACCCCTAGTGACCCTGTGGGACAGTCGCACTGCCCCCCCACAGGGTTTCCCAGACTGTTGGTCTCGATGGGGGCCGACAGCTTCCACCAGCCCACCAGAGAGCTGCCGGTGGGCTGGCATTGGGCTTGAGCTTCAGCACCCCCAGCTTCAGCTCCCCTTGATTCTTTGGGGAGAGGGGCTGGGTGCTAACTGTAAGGAGTGGCTGCCACCTCCTGTGTTTCTCAGTGTTCAGAGCCCGTGTCCACCTCCCACCCCCCACCTTTTGAAAAGAAGCAGGTCCCCGAAGTGTGGACTCTTCAGTATCTCCTGGCCACTTGCTGGAAATGCTAATGCCGCTCCCCCCACCCCACCCTGAATTCGAAACTTAGGTGGGGGCTGGCAGCTGGGGCTTGTCTGGTGAGCCCTCCATGATGTCCCATGAGAGGCTTGGCCCTGGAGCTGAGGGGCCTTGACCTCCCTCCTGACCGATGTCGCAGCAGCCCTGCCCCTGCTCCCCCAGCTCTGTGCAGGCTCCACGCTCAGACTCTGTCTAGCCCCTCTGACCTGGTGGCTGTTTCCTACCATGATCGTCTGTCTCGCCATTGTAGCCCAGGGCCTGGCTTCTCTGGCCTCTTTGCGTGTGTTGTTTGTCCGCAGTGACAGCGTCCCTGCCAGGCCCCGAGGCGGGCTGTCGATGGCGTCCCGGGACACGGGGAGATGTGCACAGGGCACGGCGGGAGGGGTGGGGAGTGACCCCGTCACAGAGCGAGAGTGGTACTCATTATCCTTGTGGTGAGGGTTCTGAGACGAAGAAATCCCCGTGTTTCTCCCTCGATCAGCCAGTGGCTTCAAACTGCTGCCCTTTCAGACTGCAGTCTGACTTGTAACCACGCTGCCACCAGGGCTCCCTCCTCTGTAGAGAGCACCTCTTCACCTGTTACTTTTCACCGGCAGGACAGCAGGCGAGGGTCTGATCTGTGGTCAGAGTGCAGACACTCGTGCATCACACACTGGGGCCTACAATTCCATGGTCTTGCCTCCATTTTCACAAGGCTCGTTAGAAGCCCTCGTGTATGTCTCCGAGAAACAAGGCCGCTGCCTTCAAGTCAGTTCCGGCTCCGAGTAACACTGCCCCTACAGGGGTTCAGGGTCTCCAGGCCTTTCTTCCATGGTGCCTCGGGTGGACTCACCCCTTCAGTTTTGGATTAGCAACCAAGTGTGTTGACTGTTGGCGCCCCCAACCCTACCCCCCCCCACACACCCAGGTTGATCTGTCTTAAAAAAAATAGAGCACAAACCCATTGCCACCAAGTGCGCTCTGGTTTGGCCTCACAAAGACCCCGTGGGACAGTAGAGCTGTGCACCTGGGCTTCCAAGGCTGGGCTCCTAGGCAACAGGCTGGTGGCTGTGTCTCCCACAGAGCGGCTAGGGGGGTCCGAACCACCAACCCTCTAGTGAGCAGCTGACTGTTGAGTCACTGAACCCCCCAGGAAAACACCTCTCTCTCACACACACACCCTCTTAGACACACAAGCACACACACACACACACCTCCTCCCCCCTTCCATAGCCTCAGGGACTTCACCTCTGGGTTTAGATGCGTGGGATTGGTAGACCTTGTCTCTCTTAGTTACACTTTCTCTCTCTCTCTCTTACACTAGTCACATCTCACTTTCCCTGTCCCCACCCCCCACCCTCCAGCCTCAGAGACGTCCCCTCCGGGTTTGCACGCGTGGGGTGGGTGGCTTTTGAAGGGCTGCTGGGCGGCTGACGTCTGCGGTGTGTCTGGCAGATACTCTCGGACTGCCGCGCGGTGCTGACGGTGCTGGGCCCCTGGTGTGCAGACAAGGTGGCGGGCATGATGGTGCGGGAGCTGCAGAAGTACATCAAGCACGAGCAGGAGGAGCTGCACCGCAGGTTCCTGCTCCTCACGGACACGTGCCTCAGGAAGGTGCACGCCCTCTGCGAGGAGCACTTCTCGCCCGCTGCCCTGGACCTGCGCTTTGTGACGCCCAAGGTCGTCAGGCTGCTGGAGATCCTGCGCAAGTACAAGCCCTACGAGCGGCAGCAGTTTGAGAGCGTCGAGTGGTACAATAACCGCAACCAGGACAATTACGTGTCCTGGAGCGACTCCGAGGACGAGGACGAGGACGAGGAGATGGAGGAGAAGGAGAAGGCCGAGACCAACCTCCCGTCGCCCTTCACCAACATCTTGTGCGGGGTCATTTTTGTGGAACGGCGGTACACGGCCGTGGTGCTGAACAGGTGAGTTGGCGGTGGGAGTCTGTGCTTCCCTCCCCGGGAGCCGAGAGGGGCTCTTGGTTTTGCGGAGCTGCCCCAGAGCTGGCAGGAGAAGGGAGGGCGGGCCTGGACCTGTGCCTGCCATCGGTCACTCGGCCTGCACTATGGATGGAGGGTGTCCTTGCTGTTGGCAGGTGCCATCGAATCTGCTCTGACCCACAGTGACCCTGCGCCTTCCTCACACCTGTTCAGGGCTTGAGCCCATCGTCGCAGCCATGGACCATCCTCTCCTTGGGGCCTGCCTGTTTCATCCTCTGCCCCCACTCGCAGCAATCATGATGTCCTTCTCCAGGGACGGTCTCCCCTGGCAGCATGTCCAGAGTGGATGAGGCGCAGGCTTACCATCCTTGCCTCTAAGGAGCACTCTGCCGTACTTCTTCCAAGACAGGTCGGAATGTGTAGGAACTTTCCCCAGAGGCCGGTTGGATGTGATGCGGATCCACCCACTCTGTTGAAAACACACAGCAAGTGCACAGACTCAAGTTAGAACACCTCTGTTTCAGTCCTTCTTTAAGTCAGATGCCCGCTACTCCTCAACTCCGGCCAGACCTCATGCCTGGGCCCCCCTCCATCTCAGGGTGCACTCTGCCTGACCCCCCTCCCCCTCCATCTCAGGGTGCACTCTGCCTGCCCCTCTCCCCCTCCATCTCAGGGTATACTCTGCCTGGACCCTCCCCACTTCATCTCAGGGTGCACTCTGCCTGCCCCCCTCCCCCTCCATCTCAGGGTACACTCTGCCTGCCCCC